TACCTACGAGGGTACCTTATCTACCTTCCAGACATGCGTTACACAGCCTTGCCTCGACCAGATGAGCCAGATTCGCATAATTGGCCGCTTAATACGAAGCATTCTTTCCTCGGACCCCCGTGACCCCTCGCGTCGAATAGAATTTCTTCCCCGAACAGGATGGTCAACCTTCCGCGGACTGATTTTTTCATAACTGTAACACGTTGCAGTTAACGAGAAATTATTACTCCTCTCGGGATGTTGCACGGTTTAAGTTAATATCACCGAGACACGTTTCACCGAAAACAATTATTACCGACTTTCTATCTATTCTTTCTTCAATTTTTATTGTATGTATATATATATATACAATACATTGATCGCAATTTTCATTGCATTGTGGCATCGAAGGTCGGTTAAAACTGTTCTCGATGAAACCTTGTCTGTAAGAACTGTTTCGGTGATGTTACCCACTCCGCACTTGTGTAAACCATGAAACGAGATTCTTTTTCGTACCAACGGTAAAAATGATTGCACATTCGAGAATAATTTTATTTGTGCAATATAAAGTTTCAGCAAGAGTCAACAGTACTTCTTGACTTTGTTTTTTGCCAAATAATTTTTGCAACTGACTAGTCAACTGTACATCAATTACTAAGAATTCTCGATTTCTGCTATCGCAGGCCTCAGGAAGCACTCATCAATTTGACATCGGAAAGTCTCTCAGGGGACAAAGAATCTCTTCCACGCACGGGCAATGTGTTGAGGGAACATAAAGAACTCAGAAGGACACAGAATAGCTCAATTAAGGCTTATCGAACGTAATAGACAATTTTCGGTGGACGTCAGAATATTAATGTGACACGAGGTTCCACGGCTGAGTTGCGGAGACTGTTAATTAAATTGTATTTAAAGTGAATTAACGACCGCGCGTATCAACGGGCCTGTTAAGCCTCGCGTCGTAAATGAATGTCGAACAGGTGCAGTCGGGCAGACGTGGTTCGCGGACGTCGACGGTAATTGTTAAAGTCGTAAATTGCTTGTAATTGTTAAAGCCTGTACCTGGCATTCGATGTGTTACGCGGCGTAAAGCCCGCGTTCGGTTGAGTTTCAATCCAGCCTCGATCGAAGATTGCTGAGTAAAGGCCACTCCGGGTCACGGATTATCAATTAACTTCGTTTGTACATCTACGGAATGCGAGTCGTACACGCTGAAACAATTACATCCGACCGCGGCGAGACGAATCTATCTAATTGTCAAAAATCTACTTTTACAAATTGCGATCATTGATGAGGTTCCACTTTGTTTCTTAATCGCTCGTCTGACGAGGAGGATTAATTGAAGGCTGGTGATCGAGGGTCAAGGAACACGAATCGACGACACGTAAATCTGGCGTAGGAGACTTCAAATTAAAATGTAGAACCCTTTGTGCAATGTTATTTTATAGACAAAGAGACATCTTACGAATGATAATATACGTAGATTTCTTTCAATCATATCAATGTCTAAGTCGCGTGCACTTTTGCTATTCGTATCAGGAATCATTGAATAAGACCGAATCGTGTCGGTCCGCGGCAGAAGATAACGGAAGCGACAACTATCGCATCCCGCGTGCACCATATAGCAGCAGTGCGTCGCACACGTGTGCGTGGAGGCTGATAGTTAAGTCATCCGTGGCGCAACGTCGCTCTTAAGTGCACCTCGACGCAAGGTGGTCGGTAACGTCGGTGTCAAACAACGCTGGAGAGTCAGAGGGCAGAAGAAGAGGGGCGGGAAAGGGAGGATATGATGAAGAAAGAAGTTCGAAGGAGACGTTGAAAGAGGATCCCAGCCCGCGAGGGGCGGGCTACAGGGCCGAAGACACCACGAGAAAGAGAGAATAATGCGTTAAAGCAGCAAGCAGCAACTACTCTAATTGACCACTTTGTCCATTTATTCGATTTATTTAAATTATGGGACAATTGACAGTAGGCATTCTATTTTTTAAATCTCCCCGGCCAACCGGCTGATTGGGCGAGATTGGCGTGAGACACTGGCCCCACAGATTCCCCAGTTGTGGGCTTAATCAGCTTTGATTGCTGCCCTCTCTCTCGCCTCTCGACTCTTTCACTCTTTCTCCTACCGGCTCTTCGCACTCTCTCTCCTTCGCGCTCCCTGCCTCTCTTTCCTTTTTATTGTCGTGCCGGCGCGGCGTGCGCGTACACGCTCGATGAACAACGCACAATTTTATTTTATTCCGTTTCAACGCGGATCCCGCGACGAGCTTAATATCGTCCGGGAGTGCGAGACGTTGATTGGCCGATCTGTAAATTGTGGGAATGTGCCTCCGGATAACAGAGACACCGAGTGAGGCCGCCTACTCCTCTCTCTCTCCCCTCTTTTGTCCACCGATTGCCATAATTTCTGTCGCCGCTACTGATTCGTTTCTTCGTTTTCAATGGAAAAATTCCCCAGCCGGCAGATTTCGTTTCCCTCCTCGTTCACGGTTCTCGGTCTAGCGATCATGGACCCCACGGAGAAGAAACGCGAAATACGCGCGAAAGAATCCGCGTGCGCGGATAAAACAACGAATCGACCAAAGGCGACGATCGATGGTGTACCGGTGTATTTATAAACACTTTACTGGTGTATTTATAAACAACTATCGACGCGGTTACGTAACGTCGCTCGATTCTATCCCCACGATGTCCTATAATTAATGAAATTCCCATTGGGTCACCGACTTCTCTATTCTATCACCGATCGATCGGCATCGCGTGCTTTGTGACCGATCTAAAATTAACCCGTGTCGCTAGAATGCCACGCGAACGCTCCTTTTGTCAGGGACTTTTTCGTCCCGTTGCACGTGGCTCGTTTGGGAATCCCTCTGTTCAAAAATCTGACACGAGCGTCACCTTCGATCGTCATTGGAACGTCTCGCGAGGAACTCGATAAACTATCCTTTCTAGGGACCTTTTTCTTTCGTTACACTTGTCCATGAAGCCAATAACTATTTCGCTTTGCTAGAACAAATTAAACATAAATTGTGCGTAACGTAGATTTCACAAAATTTAAGTTCTCGAGCAACGAGGTAGGGTTGTTCAATCATTGCTCGTGACTTCCAAGCAGAATTTTACACGTTACTCCCCACTTTTGCAATGCGATGCAATGCAATGCAATGGTTTCTGTTCCAAAAAGTCTACTTTTCACGATTTCCGTTAGATTATAAAGCGTAGAATTTATAGTACAGAATAAGAATGTCCGTCTCGGTAGAGTTGCGCACAGCTTTTCCATCGGAGGCGTAATTTTTCGAACGTCGGGGGTGGGTGTGTATGGGGGACCTGCATGAATCTGCTTCCACGCACGGTCTTCCTCTCTTTCCCGATCGTCCGCGGACATGGCAACCCCCTGCAGCCCTCTCGTGGGACCCACTTGCGCTCATCCCATTTCCTTGATAATTCCCATAATGCTGTGGGCGGATATTCCAATAAAGGGGGAAGAGCCCCCAGCCACAAAACGTTGAAAGCATGGGAGACGACTCGTTTCGTCAGGTTGCACGCGTTTTACGAGCCTGCACCGATTCAATCGAACAAATACAAGACGGGACACGCGCGCGCGCGCGCGCGCACGTCCTTCGCTGTAACGAGATTTACGGAACCACGTCACGTGACCGTGGGAATTGATAATTGTCGCGATGGGATGCGGGACCATTGTTCGAGAATTTAAATAATCTGGGAAAGACTTAAGTGGACTCTTGAGTAAATAAATATCCGACGTACGTTTCTTTTATTTCTACCTCGATCATTATTGAGATTATTTCAAGTTAATGTAGTTAATAGTGTAGCTGGTGTAAACAAGTTTAAAGTTTTCATTCAATTATTGACAGGAATTTCGAATTTATACAAAGACGATAGTATAACAATTTGTATACTCTCATCGTGAGATCATAATCTGGGAATTAGTAATTCCTGTATACGTGACAATATTACTTCTGTTTGTACTAGATCTGCGAGTTGGGTCCATCGGTGCAGTTCACCTAAACAATGAGACTAGATTGATCACTTAGATGTGATGTTATTAAACGGTTGAACAACTTATTTGAAATAATTGTAGACCGATAACTATCGGGTAATTAAAGATTATTTAACTAACAGAATCGCGATGAAATGCTCTATCGTAATATTGCTTTCTGTACAAAAAGTGTTAGAAAAGTTATTAAAACCGATTCTCTTTAACTAAAATAAACTATTAAAAAAAATTTCACAATCGCATTAAGCCACTCGTTTGGTCATGCATTCGCGTCCGCGCCTCTTTCGATCTCTGAGTGATCCTCTATGTATACGAAGTGTTCCTGCGCGTTCGTGCTAAGCTACTGATGAAATTGATCGGTGACTAAATTGTTATTGTATATAGCCGAACTGGATACTGACGCGAAACTACTGCTACGCATGAAATCCTGTGAATTTCGATGACGGTTTCCCTTTGGTTAGACCTCCTGTTTCGGAACGAGGAAATTCGGACCACCTGTTGAACAACCCCATCCCACGGTCAGGTTAGAATCCCGTTTTCCGATAAAGGGGTGTCCCCGGCAGCTAACCCGACCGGCCACCCAAATAACTCGGCTTACATCCGACATTTCGAAAACAAACGGAAGTGCGCCACGCGATCACACGTTTTCTCTCTAGAAAAGCAAAGTATCTCGAACGTGTCGAAGCTCGACGTATCGCGGACCAATTTAACGAAAGATCTTTGTCTCAGGCGCGATAACAGGTTTCCAAGCGTGACAATTAAAAGGGCGAGGGCGAATCGACTGGTTCGGCCAGATCGTCGTCGATTTAGACGCGTCGCGTCGGCGTCGTCCCCGCGACCCACGCTCCCACCCCTCGGGCACTTTTCTTTTATTATTCTTTGTTTTTCGTCCCTCCCTTCCCGGCTGCGTCGCGGCGCGGCGCGGCGCGCAGGGTCGTCGAACGCCGGGGACTCGATTTGAATCTAATTACGATCCCGATAATTCCGTAAGGAGGAGGAAATAGTAACTCACCGGAAACCTTCGGGTCAGCTGCCTCCACCTTCATCGCCGCCAGGCTCGCTATTGTCGGCGGTACCTAAAAGAAAATACATTACGATGTACAATGCACCAGCATGCTCAGGGCCGTGCTCGCGATGGGGACACGAAAGGGGGCCGCCCACGCAACCAAGGGGACGGAGTACGCCTTCTATAAGGTACGCGACACGTGTCGCTGAAAAGTTGAATGGCTCCAAATTATCCGGGCCTCGTGTCGACCTTTTAGAAAAATCGTGGCTCCCTTTGGTGCCCACAATTTTTTTGCTAGGTAAAGACGACGTTTCAGACTTTGTATACGAACTGAGCCACCTGAAGCTGCGTCTACGTCACGTGAAGATCTTTTTTTTTTTTTTATTAATGATAAATAAGGGTTCTCTCAAAATGATGTGTCTGTTTAAATAATTCAATCTGTGCTATTTTATCGGACTTTCTTTTAGAATTTAAAGGTCCCTTTACTCCGAAGAAAATGTATTGAAAACTCATCGGAAGGTTAGGTAACTCGTAATTATTTCGGAAGATTAAAATGGGAGATTTCTTTTACAAGAATCTTAACAATTTTATACTAAATAAGTATCGGAATAGGTGTGATTTTTTAGAATAGCGAATGCGATTCAAAAATTCAATTTCCTGTTGCTGGTAGCGATAGGCGTTAACCTTTACTCGGCCGTCGAATTTTCGCGGCGATAGAAACTATGCCTTTATCGTTACGACATCCTCTCGGGGACTTTACGTGAAGCGGAAACGGCTTCCTGTTCCCCGAAAACGTCCAGGAATCGAAATACCGTCTCGATTTCTTGGGTCAACGACCTCGCTACTGCAGGCGTGATGCGCACAGCATATGTGTGTCAAAGCATTCGTGAAATCACAGGATGCCTTTTGCAAAAAGCATTTTTAAATTCGCGTTATTTATCACCTTAGAGGCGGGCAACGTTTTATTCGAGTGATAAATAACGAATGAAAGCAACGTATAGCAATTCTTGACTCTGGGAAGTATAATATAGATTTACTACCTAATAATCGTTACTTTAAAACTTCAATGATCAACGTCCGTTGCTAACGTACAACTATTTGTGTACACCTCAAATAAAAGATACAGAATAAAACCTTTTTGTTTAACATTTCGTTCTGATTATTATCCATTTTGGTAAAAATTATTCACGAAACCGAAGGCTATGTACAGAAATTCTAAACTGCTGTTCTGCAACACCATAGCTGTTCGCCCTGGAAACGTAGGGATTCTTGTTAAAGGGATGGTGTAAATTGAAGTAATGAAGAAACGAAAAAGCCCAGAAGCTAAGGAACGGTTGCGAGCGGACTCCAGTTGCCAGAAGCCCTACCGCGGTACAAATTATTCGAATCCTGTACGATTTCCGAAGCCCTATCCGCGATGCCGATCCGAGACGTCGCTGAATTTATGAAGCAATAATTGCTACATAGCGTCCGTCGCACAGTGGTCCTAACTCGTAAAAACGCAATCGAGGATCGTATTATTGTTTTAAAAAGATAACAACAAAATGGCACATTTATCATTGATTAGGTAAGTTTTACATAAAATTGGCAGTATTTAATATTTTTACGATAAAACGTGAAAGAACTTGGAATACAAACTAATAGATATCCTGTAACATCTGTACCAAAAATCTGCATTGGTTTTGTGGCTCAACCTTCACTAATTACTATTATTATTGTCCTCGTTACATTACATTACTAATACAGGACATTATCGCGCATGTGTAAAGCAACGCAACAGCACGAACATCAGCATATATATAAAAAGTTGGCCTATAATTACGAACTACAACTCGAATCTCGTAAATCTACGAAGAGGTCGAAAATTTGTTATTCGATTACGTTTTTACAACTTGGAGCGGTGCGTCACCCGTCTTCGGGAATTTCCATTTTCTGGCGAACGCGTCGCGTCGATTTTCTTCTTCTGCTCGGGATCGAACGCGTCTCACGTGCGCGACCAATCGCGTTCCATCGATCCGACGGCCACCGATCGACCATTTATATTCCGTGCTCATAATTATCGTCGACCTTCGATGCCCAATATTACGGATCGCCTGTGCGGATCGCATGGCAATGCGCCGGAAAGAATGTTTCAGCAGTTTCCGCGGGAAATCGTACGTCGCGGTCGGACCTCCAAAGAATCACGGATCGAACATCGTTTTCAGCTTGACAAAAGTAATTGTTCTATGTGGGTTTGAGGGGATCAAAAACTGTACCACCTCTTGCTTAGCTTTCGGATAAGAGCACCAGTAGTTTACGCGAAAAATTCAAATCTTAAACAAGTAAAAGGAAAAGCTTCTAACGGTTTGTCTATCTTTCAGAAATTGTATGCATTTCAAAGAAAGTATTGGATTCTTCCACATCAACGGTTCAGCACTTAGACGTCGCAACGTTGAATCACATTTTTGAAAGAGTCGTTTTCAAGAGGCGCGTTTTGTCGCGAAAAGAAGAAAAGTTGTTCAAATGAAACGCTCAAGCCCTGTCCAACCGTCTGTTTCACATTTTTTCCGCAAAAGTTCTCAAAACCAGTTCGTGTTCTAGCAGCCTGTACCAGAAATTCTTCTTGCGAGCGGCCGAGCTGGATGCAAAATGGATTCCAGTTGTCAGCGCGTTGGGCATCTAGGGGATTTATCTGCACGATTCTCGGAACGCCGCGTACTCGCGAAAGTCGAGTTTACACCCGAGAACCAGCGTATACCCCGGAAGAAAACAAACACCGCGAACTTCGGTCTCGTTTCCAGACATCGGAAAGTCAATATCTCTCGCGGTCCGTGGCCGGCGGAGCGGATTTCGATTGCGGAGTAGTCCGCGCGGGTCTCGAAGAGTTCCCCGGCGAAACTCGGCAAAAGAAAAACAATCCGTGGAACAAGCGGGCGAGGAAGAAGCGACTCGAAGGAAGGAAGCGACGATCATAGAAATAAATAGAAAATACCGTAGGGTGGTTGTGTGCGCACGTTGCCTAAGAGGACAACAACGACCGCGACGACTTAGCAGAAGAAGAAGAGGAAGATCGAAAAGGAAGAGCGAAGAACGGCCCAAGAGAAGTAAGGAGAGGGTAAAAGAAGATCGACCGGGACGCGAGAGAGAGAGAGAGAGAGAGAGAGAGAGAGAGAGAGAGAGAGAGAGAGAGAGAGAGACGCGAAGGAGAAGGTAGTAGATGCGAAGGGGAGGAGGGAGGGCAAAGAGGGAACCGGGAGAGTATAGAGGTATATGAGAAAACAATAGAGCTGATTTGCAAACAATAGAATAACGTTAAGAGTCGAGTATTATACGCCGTTGTTACTTCTTGTGCCATAACGCCGGAGAGCATATGCCCATTAATATTCAAAGGCGAAAATAATGTAAACGACACGACAAAAATCGAGGGAATAATTTCAATTCTCCCCGTATGGGATTCCAGCGTGGCGATACATCGAGCGAGCCTCCTGGGCCCATTTCGTGTCTCTTCTTCTTCGACCGTACGTACACATGCATATTTAGCTACGAGAGACCGCGCGCAACGACAAAATTCCGTCGAATCCCGTCTAGCAGATGATCCACGATTTTCCGTCAATTGCCCTAAGTAATTAAACGTATCAATCCGTCTACGTCAGCGTCAGGTGACAATGTTCCGAGTGTCCACTCTTTGGCTAACATATCCTTTTTGGATCGTCATCGTTGCATTTGAATACGAAATCTTGAGCGTAGACAATAAGACCGGCAATGTTAAAATTATTACGTACATATAGTAGCGCGAAATGGGGGATAGAAGACACATGCACTTCAAATAAAAACAAACAAACAAGATTCGGTGGCGTTACCCAGTGCCAAGAATGGAACGCCATGTCCGATTAAGTAATTATACTATTAGTTTGTAATATTTTCTCGAAATAACCACCATATTCTTTCCATCGGAACATAAAGAACAACTAAACGAAGTTTCATCTGGATCGGATAAACATAACAGGACTTACAGAGAAATTTGAAACGGACAGTTTATGGCTTTGATATTATTGAGGGGAAAGGGTGATACATGTATCATCGTGTGAGATATTATAAATAAAACATCATTCCTTATAACCAGTTTCATCTTGAACAAATTCCGTGGTATATAGTGCACTTCATAACCATAAGAGGATATTATATTAAGAAATATTATATTAAGAACCGTCGAAGGCAACGAAGGCGGTTGTTGAATCATCGGTACGTTTTGATGACTCGATGACGAGTCGTCGACGATCCGTGAAGAGGCTCGCGTTCCACTGGGAATCGTGCATCGCAGCAGCGTTAGAATAATTCAAGGGTTCCTGGAACCACGGTCCACAATAATCCGTCGCGATACACATTGGCGTAATCTCCGTCGTCGAAAGAGTCGATTCTCGACCTTAATTCGTTCAGACGCGGTTCTCATAAAATAATCGAGAACAATGATTCCTTTCCCCTCGATTCGCGACGCGATAAAACAGTCGCGAGAGAAATGATCGGTGGCGAGCAATAAAGTTTCCCCTCTCTGTAAAATTTGGACACCTTCGGGATTTATCTTATCGCGTTGCTGCTTGCAACAATCGAGAATCGATTATTCGAGGTGTTCTTGAACCTCGATGTAAAAACGACGGAATTGCCGACGAGATTGGCCGCGACACAAGAAAGCTACTTCGAGCTTCTGATTGTTTCGATAAACTGGACGTTTAGTGAATTACGAAGTTGAAACGTGTTTCTTATTTCAACATGCTTGAGATGCAACGCGATATGAATATTTCTTAAGATTAATGTTCAACGCCGTTCGAAGAGAATTGGTTAGCAATAAAGATGACGTTTATTGAGATTGAGAATAGTCGAATGAAAATTGAACGACGTTCAATGGCTGACAGTTACGCCTTCTGTCACGGATTTCGGGTTCACGTAAATTTCAATTAGTCTCTTCGTTAACCCTTCTTCGACACCGTGAACGCGTATTAACCCCGGCGCGGTGTTGCATCGCAACACGCGCATCGAACGAATTTGTCACATGTCAACCGCATTTAATTACGATAATCGACACCTCGAACGAGGCTAACACCGGCATTGCTTACCGCGACAAGGAAGAATTCTCTTTCGAAGACGAGCGCAGGTGCGCAGGTTGTCCGGAGCATAAAGGTGGGTAATTATCAGGGCGTCACGCAGATCGATTAGTTCAACGTTGACACTTTGTTTTTAAGCTTCAGACTTTTCAATTTAAGAAGTATCTCGAAACTCGAAGTAATTAAACGATCAAAGTAAGATCTTGTCCCTTATGTTTTGTTTTTGTATCGAACGATGAGTACCAGACCGATGCGTATTATGCGAATATTGTATTTAATATGGTACGCAAATATACGATGCACGTTTATTGATTATTTAGAACATGTTCAGAACAGTGTAACCACTATAACGATACATCACTCCTGTCATTTATGTCTACTATATACTGTAAACGATAATGTGAAGTACGATGAATTTTAATTAACAATTTTATGGCGACAAACATTCAAAATAAAACATTATGATTTGATGCGAATAAACTTTGTTATTATACAATTTGATTTTTATTTAAAATTTCTTTTTACGATTCTTCAAAATTATTTAATTATTTAATTATTGTACAGGTTTAAAATTATTTTAGTTATCTTTTCAGCTTTCTTTTCTTTATAATAAGCTGTAAGCTCATAGCACCGTTTGATTATTATAATATACATGATATTCACGTATTATTTTTATTTCCTTTGAGCACTTTTTAATCGACAAAGACAACCTTTATTTACTTACAAAATTGAAATGTAATGATTTATAAATATCGTGTTAAATATTCTTGGAAAAAGTGTGCAATTATTGTTCTAAATGAAACCCAAACATCTTGGGACTATTTCTAACAATAAGAACTCGGTTGTCTGACTTTATACAGTTCATCCTCGTCTCTATGCTTTCAAGAAGATTACGTAAGACCTAGGAATTAACTTTCTAAAAGAACAACTAACATTCCACGCCATACATTGACACACCCTTCGATAACATCATTCGATCTATTCGTTATTCTGATAACTAGGAATAAACTAGAGTATCGATAACGTTCAATTTAATTACTAAGAATTACACAAAACAGTTTTAAAACGAAGATGGAAATTTAATAAATAAATTATAGAATTCTAACGTAAGACAATGCCTTACTAAATAGATTAGCTAATGATACTAATATACGCGTGACGTCTTACTCGAAAAATTCCACTTCTGCTGAACGAGACAGGAAAGTATCGACAATTCGACGACGACAGTGACGATTTCACGTTGCGTCAACGCGTACGCATCATCGTGTCACCAATGATACGGCATTACATGTTGTTCTTGGACGCGGTTCAATTCACCCGAACAACGAACATCGATGGACGCGGTTTCTAACATCGGACAACCGTGTTGCGAAATTTCAGAAGTGGGCCGTGACTAATTTAACAAAAGTCTAACGATTGAAAATGTCAAAGTGCAAAACCATCGATGTTCTTTCCTCTATTTTCCAATCGTGTGTTAAATGTATTTTTCATCGTTTAATTTTAGTTTGCCTTAATGCCGATTGTAATATAAATAATTTTAAAATGATGAGAACATACACAAATTGAATTTTATCACTTTAGTTCTGTTATCATTTAGATCAACGGTATTATTCTTACGATTTAATGGATTCAAGTTAATAAATTAATTTTAAAAAGGAAAGATGTCTTTACGATATTAAAAAAAAAGGAAATATGCTTTAATCTAGATTAAGAAAATTATTGTCGAAGATAAAAGTTTATTGCACGCCTAAAAATTTGTCGAATGTTTCCAGAATTACGAAAATCTTGTTCTCGACGATTTTTCTCTGTACTCTCTCACGTCAGTCGTTAATAAATTGGAATAATTACTTTGATAGAATTGGCTCGCTGCAACGTCCGTGGATCTCGGCGTTGCTCGTTAAAGTGGAAACAAGTTGAACGAAATCCAACCGCTGTACCAGATGCTCGCGGCATGTTGACAATCCGGTGTCACGTCATCATCAACGGTCTCGGTGTCCACGAGCCCCGAGTATAATCGATCTACGTCTTCGAGAAACGATTTAAGGTCCTCTCACATCGTCAAATACGAACCAAGCAACGTCAAGCAATAACTAACTTCAATAATTATCGTATAAAAAACTAAGATTAAATTCTTTTTATGAGGAATATAGAATCGAGATAAAAAAAAACCTAACTATTGCTACTGCTATTAAATTTAAATTTATAATTTGCAATTTATGCATAAGTTGTTTATAGAATTCTATCCTAAAGAGGATTAGGTGACCAAAACTTGGATTAAAATGCTTAACTAACGAAGGAACTGTTACGTTACTTTCTTCCAGTTATCAAGACACTTCGTATTCTATACAGAATATAACTATCTACAACAAAACGCATATTCCTCTAACATCGTTCACCCCGATCGAACAATACAAAAATTCTACTCTCACCGTATAACCCCCACCAGTTCCATACAAAGCCTAAAGTACCCAGTACCGTTAGCCGAGGACCGACGTAAAAATAAAAGAGAAACAGTCGATTTCCATCGCGAGGGAGAAGGGTCGAAACGCTCCGCGGGGGATGAAAGGGACCCTCCACTAATTAATTTGTTCGAGTGACTCACCCTTGGCTCCTCTGGTTCCTCCCTCCTGACGTTCTGGAACAGGACGCTGCCCATCTGAACCTGAAGATTCTGCTGCAGCAACTGCGCCAACTGCGGGTTCTGCGTCAGAATCGCCGGATTCTGCTGCAACAGCTGAGCCAACGCTGGATTCTGCACCAGGATCTGACTCAAAGGAGAGTTCGCCATCGCGTGAAGAGATTGCTGCTGCTGCTGCTGCTGCTGCTGTTCTTGGTGATGCTGCTGGTCTTGCTGCTGCTGCTGCTGCTGCTGCTGCAGGCAGGGCGAGTTGGCGTTCGACGTTTGACATGATTGAGATAGGTTGCTGGGAGGTGGATTGTGCCGTGGTGGGCTTTGAGGGGTGTGCGGCGGCGTCGGAGGGCTTCCTGGCGCCATCGATGAAGCATCCTTCTCTTCTTTGACCTTGACCTTCCCTGCAACGGAAATTTGTTCGTTTCGATCAGTCCACGGAAATTGAAACAAATAATAGAATCACGACATTTTTCTCCCAACGTAATTGACCATTGCAAACATTCATCCTTAATTTAAATGTTATTATTTTAGAAAATTATACGGCTTCGTATTTATTTCAACTCATAGAGATATCAATCTCATAGAGATAGATTTTTAAATGTAAATGTTAATGACGAATTCGGTCGTGTGTTAAATGACCTATAGTTCATTTTTCTACAAATTTTATATTCATGAAATTTCCCAGATGATAAAATGACTTTTTTTTTTTTTTTATAAAGATTAATATATCATACCTAACAAGTACTTCACTAAAAAAGTGAGTTCTAAACCGTGATAACATTACATTTGTCAAATTATATAATTTGCAATTGTATAGAAATAAAGTTTTAGTCTCATAGAAATTTGTACGTGTATTAGTTTAGTCAATGCGTTAGTCGCGATCGATTGGTGCATTTTTTTCTCAGGAAGCTAACCCCTCTCTCTACCTACCCTGATCGCGCTTGGGAAGCTGCTCGACCTCCTTACCGCACGAACACCGCGAAAAGACTGACTCCGAGGCTCGGATTTTCCAAGATTTGGGAAAGTGTCAGAATAGTGGGGAGTGCGCCACCGGATTGGTCCAAAGCTGAGAGACGAGGCAACGAATGGAAACGCGACGACTACGCGAACGAAAAAACCTGACTGAGGGGAAGTTTTTGCTGGTAGAGGGCTAGAATCGTGAAATTGAGACGTCTCGATCCTGAAAAAGCCGCAATCGACTGCGAGCAGGTACATCTGCTCCGGGTCAGGCTGATGCCATAACACCTCTTAAATTACGAGTTGTTTACAGACTGCGGATGTTTACACAAATTCATACTTTCACAGATACAGACCAAAAATTAGAACATGAATGAAAGTATGGCTAATCTTCTAAACGATATAACGTGTATGTTATTGTTAATATTTTATATGTTTTTGCATTGCTGTGCATTCATACAAATTTTTCTACATCTCCACTTGCCATCAATGCATAAACATACGCAGTCTACTTATTTATCGTCAGAAAAGAATATCTTTTTCTTGACGTTTTCGTGTCACTAAAGTATTCATCAAGCCTATACAAATAATTAATTTTACCTGTTAAGAAATTTCAAGTGAAAATATTAGGTGGGTTGAAAATTAATGTCGTTTTTGTAATTTTAAATTCTTGTTCATCACTCATCAGCTCATTGACTTTCATCAATTATTATTATTTGATATTTAAAATTTATTAAAAATTTGATGTAAAAGAAACGACATTACTTTTCAGTCTACCTGATACATTATAATCTCCACATTTGTTGTGTTCCCACAGTTACAATGAGATCAAACAAAATTCAGCGATCGAAGAAAGCAGAATTTGTTATAGATAATTTAAAAATGCGTAAAATCAGCGGAGAGCGCAGAAATTGTCCCGAAATGAACTTTCTAGGACATGGTAAATTCGTTTCCTTTATCTTGGACACGAACGGGACGATCGTCGATTCAACTATTTTTCCCAAAGCGCTACAGAGAATCATCCCCTTCGTTCTCGAAAGGAGACAAGCTTACACGGTGCATCCTGACGAGGGTTTAAACTAGCAGAAGGAGTCGTGGCAGCTTTTAATAACCCCGAACCGGTGGCTGGGCTCCGCGTTTCAGGTAGATCTATCTGGATTTATTCGCGCGAGGATCCATGAGAACATCAGAACCCGATCTTTGGGCCTGTACCTGCAGCTTTCGACCTGGCCAGTCGATTTCGTAGCCGCGAAACAGGGAAACCAGACGGAACAAGAGGGAAGGAGATCGAGAAGAGAAAAGAAAGGAGATTTGGAAAACGGGAAAGGGCTCGAAGAGGCCAGGTTGCTCTACGAGATTCCCTGGGACCCCCCTCTGCCTGGATCGATGACGTCTATCGAAATTACGCAACCCCTTAGGCATCATTTCTACCTCCTCGTTCTTTCTATAAGTCCCTCCGCAGAGTTACCATCCCCCCTTCGTTCATTGTACAAGCTCTCGGGATTTTCCTTTTTTTATCCAAGGGCCGACTCTAGCGTCGTTTAACGAGACGGATACGCGCGGCTGCTCGTCGTCGATGAAAAATGACTATCCTCCGTGGTAATTTAGGAGACTGCCAGACGTTGTGGGAAAATGTTCCTTTTTTTAGGACCATTTCGAAAAGCAGATTGAGTGGTTCGTGGTTTAATTGAACGAGGCGAAAGTGCGAGTATATGTAATGGAACGAGTTAAACTCCTTGAAAATTACCAGTTTATATATTTTAATAAAAACAGCTTTGCAGGAACTCGCTTCTTATAAACTTGCGCATTTCTTCGTTTGGTTAGTTTTTAAGTTTGCAATTTATGCCTATAAACGGTTCAATCGTGTTCATAATAGCTTCGTTATATTGTATAAATACAAAATATTCCACGATGAGCGTAAATGTGTAGGATAAAACTGTATTGCTACGTTTTTATAAGCTGCATAAATTGATGAAACATACCATGAAATGCACATAAAATGATGTCAATCGTATTTAATTTTATATAGAATCTTTATAATTAATCTTATTTTTTCTTCGTAGTTCTTATTGCGGAATTAATTCGTAGATTCAGTAATGACAAAGAAACTTCAAAGGTACAATTTAGGAGCCTGAATCGAATCGGAACTCGAATCGAGTAAACCGAATCACGGTCTTATCCGAATCGTATTGGGGAACATTTATAACTAAAATGAAGCGTCCAGACATGGATATTTGAGCTCACTTGGAGCTGAAGGCGATGAAAAAGGATCCGGAGGAGCACGAGAGGAGTGACTTGAAATGATTTCGTACACGTTTCAGCGTTAAATGGATTCCACGGGAGATATTCCTGAGGGATCGCATGCACATTCGCGTTATGCTTGTATCCTGGGCCGGATCCTTAAATCGACTCGATTTTTAAGGCCCGACCCGAGGAGGATCCCGCGCCGCGGGGATCCTGTGTTTCTGTTCCTCTTGCGACCGTTCTCCCTTTCGTCTTTGCTCCACATCGGCCTGCATCAGCCGCGAGTCGTGGTCGATTGATAAAAATCAAGAACAGAGAAAACGCGGCAAGAAATGCCGCGACTCAGGGGTTGGGGGCGATTCGTGAAATCGAAACGGCCAGGAAAATAATTAGCGCCGTTAGCGAAGAAGCATTCGCGTCTCGTACGAAATTTACCAAACCAAACGTCTGTTATTTCTCGGTGCAACGTTTGTACAAATCAAAGAGGAGCAGAAGTTTTATTTGGGAAAAAGATGAGGCGCATGAACTCTGTTTAGTGATGTTTAGTGATATTTACTCAGACAAAATAAAATATAATTTGATTGGAATTTTCATCGTGAAACAAGATTTTATTCTGTAATTTAGAATCTGATTTCGATTATGAAATATAATTTGATTTAACAATTAGATTCTAATTTCTATTGTGAGCCATATTGCATAACTTTGATAACTCTTGTTTCATTATACGTAAATATCAAACGAAGAATTATGAACACTCTTAAGAATTTAAAGAAGTGATCAGTTTACTAACATTTAGATAGTGACTTTCCAGGAATAAAATGCATTTATCGAACACTGTTCATGATCCGTTCGTCATGAGCTATCTTTGAAATATTTTACTGTTTATCAAGTGATAATCTCACGTAAGTGTATGTCGGTCGATCACCTTTTCTGTAAGTAAGAGCGAATCTCACCTATCTTGAATAACGTAGAATGTTCTATAGAGTGGTTCTGGAACCAGAATGTGAAACAAAAATTATTCAAATTATTCAAAAATCTATCAAACACAATTTTATAAAATGCCTTTTTTTTACGTAACAATTTCTAATTCATTAGTGATTGAATAACTCAATTCCTATCTAACATTAACAATCTTAATTTACTTTTAGCTACCGTAAAGAGGGTGTTAATATCATTTCCTGCCTAGGAGCGTAAAGAAAACAAATGCACTACTGTTGAAAAGTCATTCGATTTTCCACGATTTCACAAGAGAATCGTCGATTTCATAGTACTTTTGTCGCGAGACGCTGATCTCGAACGCGCGCGGAACGAAGAACCATGACGGTGACATCCGACCCCGAGAAGTTACAATTGGGAAAAAACCCACAGCCTGTCGCATCTTGCGCCCATTTTTACGAGATACTTAAGCCTTTAAACGGCCCAGTCGAAACTGGAGCAATGCAAGAAAGAGCGAGACAGAGGGAATCTCCGATTTCAAATTTCTCCCGAGAAATCGATTAACCCTCGTGCGTTGACGCAGCCCGGAATGGGGTCGCGCGAGTTTTCTCAGGGGTTAAATCGACCGTGGCCCCCAAAAACTCGCGTTTTTTTTGTCCCTCCACGAGTTCGCAGGTAGCTGCAGCTACCTGCACGCGCGCGTCCACCGGTAACCCGGAAAAGGAATCCGTGATGGGGAAAAAAACCAAAGAAATAAAATAAAAAGCAGGGGAAGCTACCCCTGGGGGGTAGAGAAAAGGAAAGATTACGCAAGAAACCTCGAAAAGGGGGAAGAAAAACACGGTGCGGAGCTTGGTCCCTTGGTAGGACGAAGAAACCTTCTCTCTTTCTCTGCCGTAGTCTGAGGGTTGCCGGGGGTAAGAAAACAGGGTAAAAGTGAGTTAATAGTCGGTAAAACGGTATTCACCCCGTGACCCGCCGGGGTTGCCGGCTCCTTTTGGGGTTGAGCCCCTTTTTCTTCCTCTTTTCTCACTACCGTCAAGTCTCTTCCGGAAGGGGTCGAACGGAAAACCGTGGAGGGGTGGAACGGATCATCCCTTCCTCGCGCTACGGCGATGGAAAACCGAGACACGAGACACTCCTTTCGTTGAGAAATTTGAGTAATCGTTCCGGAACCCATCGTCGAGTACCACGGAAGAGAAGGGTGTCCCGGTTTTTTCGGAAAGCTGCATATCGGCGTGAGAGAATGAGACGTCTTTGCTGG